ATCCAAAGAAGAACACATCCAAGAGGCAAAGAAAATTGTGGATAATCTTTCCTGGCTCTGCACAGTGCACAGAGGAGGTAAAGAGTCCATACCATGCACAAAGGTGAAACACAAAGCCCCATTGGTGCACAGGCCCCACTTTTGGACCCGTGTGAAGGACAGTGAGACCCTGACCATCTCTCCTGCATCCCGCTCTCCGAAGAACCGTGGATTGCAACTGTACCTGGTCCTAGCTCAGCTCTGTGAGGCGAGGGAAGACTTCTTGTTCACCTCGTCCCGATCTGCAAGCAACGACCAACAACCTCGCCTCTACAACGAAACAAAAATACTTGTCCAAATGATTTTTACCTTCCCTCTTCAGCAGGGAACTGAATGTAGCTGTCACACCTAATTTCGTAGAAGTTCTCTTTGGGCACGAAGCTTGGAAGCCTTCTACCCCAGTCATCCACAAGGAAACCCAGCCAGCACTTACAGACATCTCTATGTGATGAGACACTGTAGGATTGGCAGCCTGATTCCCCTGTTCATCTCAAGGTATCACTAACTATTACTACAGCTCTTGAAGCTCTTATTAACAGCAAACACATCTAAACTGCACTGTCCTACTGTAGATTAATATTTAATAAAGTTATAGCCTGTGTCTATTTATCATAAACTCATCTCTCCTGTATGAAAGCTTAGTGGGGCAGCCGTGAATAGTTTTAATACTGTACTATTTTCCCATGATTTCAATTTCAGTCATTGCAATGTGGAATTGGCTCTCATTTATTCAAATCACCATTGATGCTTAGATTGAGACTAGATGCCTTTTTTTCTATTTCAACCTATGGCTTTTCTGAAGGAATCGACTGTTAAAACATGATAGACATTTATTTAATCGCTTTTGAGTAAATCCTAAGCAATACAATGGCACAGAGGTCAAGAAGAGAAAATCTTTGGGTTTTACTGACATTTCAGAATGTTATCATTAGATGAGACCTCGAGACATCTGCATGTTAGTTAAGCTTGTTGTTCAGCCTTCATGTATAATGACCTATTTCTTACAGAAGAGCTAATACCTATAAATTTTTCATTTGCTGCCTAGTAAAAACTGAGAGATTTTAATTCAGTGTGTGTTACATATATCAAATTATTACTGCAAAGATTTTTTTTCAGCTGCTTAAAAATGGTCATATGCTGAGAATGTATTGCCTCTTTTTTACAACTCAAAAAAATCAGTTCTACTGGATGAGAGGTAATACTGTTTAGTATAAAAAGGCTTCTTACTTTTGTCATGTTTTTAGTTCTGCTCATTATTAGATGAATAATCCTGAAACCTGTAGCATTAAACATAAAAAAAAAAAAATCCATCTTGTCTGAGCCACAGTTACACCAGGAGATAAGAGTCCATGTGCATTTATTACATATATCACCCCAGCTGTCAGAGGAGAGCTCTCATGCTTAAGTGATTTAAGATTATGGATCAGAGGCCATTTGCTTCCCCTTAAGTAATAATAATAAATATGCTAATGCTTTTAGTGTCATTGTTAATTCCTTATTTGTGAACACTCAGAGACAGGCTGAAGGCCTGTGGTTTGAAGACAGGATCTGAAGATGAGCTATTCCCAAGAAGAATATGGAAGCCAAAATCGTGTGCTTAAGGCACCATCAATTCAGTGTGAGAGAACAAATCCTCTTCCACATACAAGGACAACAGAACTGGGGCTTCAAGGTAAAGTTTTGTTTGGGACAGCTTGCTTTCACGAGCAGCAAGGACTAGATCTTCATTTAAACACCTCCATACTTGCACTTTGTCTTCAGTTCCCATCTAAAGACTCATCTTTACCAGTTTAGTCAAGATTTTCTTTGGGAGTACACGCTGAATCTGTCACTGGAGAATAGATATTAGAGATTTGATGCAGAAAATCTACACATGTTAAGTGGTAGTAATTCCAATCAAGTTATTAACTTGTATTTTATTTTCAAGCATATTAATTTAAAATCTTTAGTTATCAAGTTTATTTTTACTCTATCAAATTTGTAGGATTGTTCATCACCATAGGAACTTACTGTTACACTCATATAAAAAATCACATTCTTTCTTAGTACATTAACCTTCTTGTTCTTTGAATTTCAAAACAAAGCCATTTCAACATGCTGAGTGACTGAATGAAATGTATTATAAATTTGTGACAAATCATGTTGTAAAACACATTCCAGTGTGACAATGCAGTTATATTTGGAACAATTTAGGATGTAATATTTTATGTTAGGTTGAAAAACATCCTTGAATGATGGAAACTGTCTGAGCTGTCTGATAGAAACTGAAAAGTTGAGAATTCCCTCACTAATTATCATGTGCTAAGAGCACACTGGCTTTACAAGATAATAAGAAGCTTAATAAAGAGTTCATAAAAATGAAGGAGAACGGGAAATCATGTGATGCAAAGATATCCAGACAACGCCCTGGTCAGAATGTCATTACTGGAGCTTTGAAAACTAGACTGGAAGAAACCTCTAAGGTCACATCCAGGCTGTCAGACAAAGCGGTGCTGAGAAGCAATTCAAGACCTGGGGCAGGAATCCCCTACTCCAACCCACGCTGGAGCACTGTCTGGATTTAGCAGCTCAGCTGCAATGTAGTCCCATCAGCCCTGCTGTGTCTATGGTAATAAATCCAACTCTGTGTACCTTGGAGGTCCCTACAATGTGCTCCCTCCCACTTGCCGCTCTAGGTTTAGTACAGATGGACTTAATTTAAATGCAGAGGGTCTTATGACAGGGATTAAAGGGGCAATGAAGGTACTAACGCAAGAGAAACGATATCTACATAACTATTCTCTAGGACTGTACCACTCTCTCATTTTTCAGCTGGGATTTACAACATTTTCTCATTTGTTTTGGTGAAGCCCATCATAGCACCTTCCTGAGTGGAGATAAAAGCAGGGAGGATGCATGGCTTGGACAGGGCTTTCCACCCTTATGCTAAAACAAATCCTGACTTTGGCTAAGGTCCTGCAGCTGAAAGCAAACTGCTTGATCCTTCCACTCGTACAGACCCAGGGATGCTCAGTGCGGGCACTACAGGCCGCTGGTGCTGTTGTTTTTGCAGACTTGCAGGCTGTAAGGGATACAAAACACCAAAATATTCAAACAAGTGCTCAAGTTCTTACGTTTATCTTGTCTCTGTTTTTCTGTAATATGAGGTTTCCTGTGAAGTTCGATTAGATGCAACTACTGATGTCCAGATGCAGAGGTTCCTGAAATCCTCCCACTGTTTTAAATAGGTTTTGGATCCAGGCCTAAGTTTAGGCAAGTCTTTATCAAGGGAAAATTGTTAAAAACCTAAGTCACAGATTTTATAACCATATTAATTATCAAGCTAAACAGCCACTACTATCTTACAGACCAGAGAACACTGCTTATCATGAGTCAAAGATTATGGTTGTAACTGCATTTTTATAATCTATAAAACCGGACATGCGGAAACTATGGAAGGAAATTTTTGTAATTAAAGCACAGGTTCTCCTAATTAACTGCAAAGCATCATTAAAATCTAATGAAAATAGTGAAATAATACAGGATTCTGGCTTAACTGCAAGGAGATAAATGCAAATGAAAGTGGAATTTTCACATGATTTTGAATTTACACAATAGGACTGAATGCATTTACAGTAGTTTACAATATAAAAGCTCACTTTCAACACTGCATGAATCAGCACTGAGAAGTTAGGGTATTAGTGTAGAAGCAGTTAACATATTAAAGAATATGGCATACTGAAGCACAAGAATCAAAGAAATCAAAACCCTTGTTACTTAAAATAGTTGCATTTGTGACGGTAAGCTGAATTTCAAAGCAGATGATTAATAAGATAACTAATAAGCATGATGTAAGACTAAATTTTTCAGTGTAGCGACTTCATCTTGGCATATCTGAATAAGCTGCATCATCATACCCTCTTACGCAATAGATTCAACTGAAGCAGGAACTTCAAAACTCTGCAAGCACTAGACATTTTAAGATATTAATCTGCCATGATGCTTCCTCACCCTCCCTTGGACACTTGCCTTTTAAGTTCTTAGGAGGGAAATCTTCATGGAAACTGGAGCTTGAATGCCTAACTTCAGCCAAAATGTATAAGGTCCGCAGAAGCCACAGGAGCATCGCTGATCTCCAGTGACCAAAGATCTAGACCTAAAACGGTTCTATCTTGCCTACATTCAAGGTATTGCAGGCGAAAACGCTCCCATCTGACTTCAGCTCTGTAAAATACCCAAGGCTAGATATTTTCACTGCATGTATCGTATCTCTTTACATGCTCTGAGGACAATTCACTTGGGCTGTCTTGGCACAGAATGAATCACTCTCCAAAGACAATGTTCTCCTGTAATCAGATTTTGGAGAAACCTAAATGACCAGTCCTTTCTGAGTGCTACAGTCCTTTAGGACTTCTACCCCACACGACTGTCAGCAGTGCCACATTTTCTGTATCTCCCTACCAGAGGCCTTAAATTCTAGCTGAGAGATTTTAGCTCAACGAGATCAATTTCTACTGCCATTAAAACCTATCCTAATTATCCTGATGGGTATGTCAGTGTCCTGAGCATCAGTAAAAGGTCCAAGCCAATCAAATTCATTTCATTGCAACTCACAGATGCCAATACTTTTCAGAATAATACTGATTTAGGTTAGACACCAAATTATGTTCATAGACTAATTTGAAGACCAGTTTCCCATTGATTTAAATAGTTAAGTACAATAAAATTATTTGGTATTTAGGCAAAGATCAGAAAGCAGAAAACATTTACCATAATGAAAAATAAAGGCATATTTCCAAAGTAGCAAATCTGTCATTTTTTAAAACATTCAGGTTTTGATCCAATCACAAAGATAATACTGGAGTAGCATGCAGTTAAGATTTTGTTAGTAAGTTATATGCTGTTATACAGTACTGTTTTTAAGAAAGTACACAACGGACCCAAACTCTTACTATCTACATTGTTACCTTATATACTCATACCTTCTCTGTGTCAATTCCTTTAGACATGGACCAGGTTGAGACAATATAATCCATGACTCTTTCACTAAGGCCTTTTGGGACTTGATATAATTTTAGGAAATCCCTCACATTGTTCAGCATCTCATGGTATCGGTTGGTGTTGGCATACATTTGCTGGAAAATGGTGGTGACGTTTCCAAAAATAGTTGCATAAAGAAGAGCTGAAAGAAACCAAAGGTGATTAAAAATAAGTATGCGTGCTCCAGTAAATGCTACTCATAATTCAAGCATAATGTCAAAGAATTTTATGTATGATTACAAATACTGCAAATACATAGGTGTAAACTGCAAATTTCTATTTATGCACACACTTTCACACACATACACGTAAAGAGTTATTTATTGAATTTACCCACACAGCTCATACTGCCACTCAGTGTGCTTTAATTTACAAAATCAGTCATACAGATAATGTCTATACATGGAGTTATTTAAAAACTGCCGGTGCATTTCAACTTTATACCCTCTATTAATCCAAACTAGTTTTCAAATGTAGCTTCAGCCTGCCAGTAAACCTTGAAGGCAGTGTCCACAGAGTCATTTGGATCTCCTGTAAGATCAGCTCAGCTAGCACGTAGTATGAGTAATGAATGGCCTCAGTCTCAAACAAGAAATGAAATGAAGAAGAAAGGAACCTGGGAAGCCCGAAAGGAGGTATCTATACAAAGAGTATATGTCAATGGTCAGGATGCGCACAAGAAGGCACAGAGTGGCATTTCATAGTCCAATTTCACAGCCAGCCTCAGCAGATGACCTAGGTATGTCATGTCAGCTTTAGAAGCCAGTCACTAACAATTCCAAAGGGGCAAAAACTGGATTAACAAACAACAGAAAATCCCATTATTGAGGGCATATGACTAAGGCAAGTAGGAAGCACTACCTCAAACCCACTCCTGAGTTACCTTCTCTTCTGGTTTGATTCTTCTCTTTACAAACATGCAACCATTACTGTCAAGCTCAGCCAGCTGACTTGTGCAACACCAAAGAATGACATGTCAGATTTGAGAAAATCACATATCTTGAGTAAGCCTCCCCAACTGAGGTGTCAACCTCAGTACAGTATTGCAACCATGATGCAGTTCACTATTTGACTGAGAATAGTTAATTTCTGAAGCTTAAATTCAGCAATACATTTAAGCAAAAACTTAAACATACACCTTTACTAGTGCTATCTTGAATAGTCATGGAATGAAAGATGCTTTTAAAGCCAAGCAAACTTAAGGCGCCTTATTGATTCACAACGTAATTACCCTTGCAAGCAAGCCCAAAATGACATTCTTCCATTAGGCATTACAGATTTTGCAGAAAAGAGAATTATTCTGATATCTCATAACACCAATGTCTGGCACTACTTCTGCTCTTGACATTATCAGATACACAGAAATGTGCCTGTCATTTTTAATAATTTTTGCTCAGATGTACTTTATAGCAGAATTCAGCTATGCATTTCCATATTGCTTTTTTGAAAAACAACTTCAGTCTACAAATGGCATGAAATAACCTACTGTGAAAGGATAAAATGCCTTCCATCTCTCAGCACATAATGTCTTCCCTCTACACAACACATTTGTTCCTCATTCCAGAAAACTCACTTTGTTTCATACTAATTTACTATTGTTCATCATTCCTGTCTGAGAGGCAGCACTTTTAAAGAAACGTGGTGCTTTTCTAAAACCTGTCTAACAGAAAAATTGTACTTCAACTTCTCACAGTGCTTTTTACTATGTCCATGTATAAATTGGATGTTGAAGCTCATCAGAAACAAGATGTTCACTGTTTCATCAATGTCTTGGAATTTTTCATCTCAACACACAAGATCGTATCATACAAGGCCACACAATGTATAGCAAAGATGAAAATAAAGGTTCACATTCTAGAAAACACATCAGATTAATACTCTACGTGGTGTCCAGAAATAAAGCTCTTTGCGAAGTTTTTTTTTCCTTGCTTTACTGATATATCACATCTGCTAGCTACTGAAAGGTTTTCTCTACCTCTGTACCCATTCAAATACATATCAACACTCACTCTAAGAGCATGTACATTATAAAAAAGTTTAGATTAATAAATGCCACCTGATTTTTTTCTTTCCTCCTTTTTTCAGCTTTCTCAGCAATTTGGGACTTTTGTAGTACAATAAACTTGATTAAATGCCACTTCTAAGTGCAGCGTCCCTCTTCCTTTTGAACAATAGTTGTTGATTTATTGTGAGCTCATCGTGAGTTTGAGTGCACAATATCACTTGTCCTGCCCTCTGATGTTTGATGCACCTGCAAATTACTTTGACTATAAATGTAAAGAGAAGCCATAACTGTCCCCAAAACACATTCATTTTCTGAATGAGTACAATTTACTTGAGCCTGTAACTACAGCTAGACTGCATATGCAATTACAGTGCATACAACCCAACTGGCCATGCAAACCTTCACAGAACACAGAGGCTGATTGAAAATGTGTCCTGTAAGCTTGGGGAAAAAAAAAGAAATTCAACTCTGACACCTGCCAGGTTGAAAATAGCTAAGAATGCCAGAGTGAAAACAGCTTGTCTGAAGCAACTGGCACATAATACCTCCTCTGAAAAAAAAAAAAAGAAAAAAAAAAAGGACTCTGACAGAAACGATTTGTAGAAAATTTCTATCCAGAAGAATAATTCTAGTTCTGCGTCTCCTGATATAGGGTCCTGGAGAGTTGTACCTAAAGAGTATGTTTGTTCAAGAAATCAAGGAGAGAATAAATTTCTGGACCAAGCCTACAAAATCGCTGGAAGCGTTACCCAGCGGTACCTCACTAAACCAGACTTCTACATGCTGCAGAGTCTGCACAGGTAAAACCAACATCAACACTTCTGCTGGAGATCAAAGACTTCCTTTGCCTCCCATTAGAAATGACAAAGACACATGTTTGAGTTCATCTAAATACTCCACTCCTCTTACAGGTTACTGCATGGGGGCCTTTGGCAAACATTTAAAGGGAACCTACTTAGATCTTCAGAGCTGTGAAGCTGTGCCTTAAAGACTCTCCTCACTCATGGTGCTTCCTTACACCAACACTGGCAGCTGCTGGGACCGGTTTGCTGGCTATTTTGGGGAAGAGCATATTTTTTCAGAATTTGTCATGGAAAATTCACCAAAATCCAACCTCTCTCTGTAAATCAGCTCCATGTCCCTGTTCTCTACATGATACCTAGAAAAGGGAATCATTTAAATAAGCTAAAACATTGTTTTGCAGGCCTTGGTGTACAACAAAACAGGCTTGTGCTGATAAGAAAATAATAAACATGTAAATGAAACAATTTGCATTGCATTTGTTGCACTCGTGACACTCTCTATGAAGAAAGGGTCATCTGCTTGGGATAGTTTAAAAAGAAGAGGTTAGTCTACCTTAAAAATACAAACTACCTGCCTTTGCTCTTCCCCACCCAACTTTAGCCTGGGGTAATTGCGTTAGATGCAAATATGTCACAAAGATTGGACAGAAGAGAGAGGTGAGCTGGATCAGCTCCTTAGCTGGCAGAGATCACAGAATCATATCAGCTGGAAGAGACCTAGAAGATCATTGAATCCAGCCTTTCTCCCAGCCCTATCAACCTACTAAAAGATTCCCCCCAACGCAACATCCACCCGTCTCTTTAACACCTCCAGGGACGGTGACTCAACCACCTCCCTGGGCAGCCTCTTCCAATGGCTGACAACCCTTTCAGTATAGAAATTCTTCCTAATATCTAACCTGAACCTCCCCCAGCACAATTTAAATCCATTTCACCTCCTCGTATCACTCTCCAACAGGGAGAATAGACCAGCCTCTGCTTCTCTACAACCTCCCTTCAGGTAGTTGTAGAGAGCGATGAGGTCTCCCCCTTCTTCTCCAGGCTAAAGAGCCCCAGATCCCTCAGCCGTTCCTCATCTCAAAGAGCCAGTCACCTCCAGACCATGCCTAGAAGCACCCGTGCAGGCACGCACACTCATGTGGACATGCTGGTGAGCATCGAATGCTGCTGGAGCCTCTCTCAGCCTGTAAAGGTCTAAAGGTTTCCATCAATGACCCCTGGTGCCTGTAATTAGCAAATGAAGATTTCTCAGAGCATCTCTATCTAATGAGCAAACGCTGAAGTGCCAAGTGTGAACCTTACCTCTCACCTTTAAAAAACAAAGGTAGGGGAGCGCTACCTGGGGCATTTCGCTTCTGCTGTATTTTAATTATTTTTGGCAAGTGGAACTGACAGTAAAGATCATTTGCAAAAGGAAATAAAATACTGGGCCTTTCTTGACCATTAGAGGATTTAAACAATCTCTAAAGGTATACATACACTTCAAAAGTTTTGATTTAGTTTCTCTGCTTGCAAGAAATGGGAGAGATGATGCTACAGAGGTTGAAGGTGAAATTACTTTACCCAATTTCTTGAAATGACTAGTTAGGTCAAATTGCATTCATTCACCTTCTCTTTAATGACTTGCATTTCTCCGGACATTTCCTGTTATGTTCCTACAGTCATGCAATGCCCCTTTACTTAATTACCCTGTGTGTGTGTGTGTTGTGTGTGTATCTGCAATAGTCTTTGCTAGATTTCATAGAGATTAAATTGATATAATGATACAGAAATATTTTTTCTCAGTCCTAAAGGTGAGGTAAGTGGTTCAACTATTATTTTAATTTCTATTTTTACTCTTCAGTGTTGAAAAATCTCCCCTAAATTATATACAAGGATCTAAGTGCTACATATTTTAATATATAAAATGTGGTTTACTACATTCATACATACATAAAGCATTTTTAATTATTTGGCAATAATTTCCTAAATCATTTTGCCTGTTTAAAAACAAGGAACTTTTCAAAAAATACTTATGTAGATTTACCTAATTTATCACAAAACATTTCAGATCTCTTATTACCCTGACCATATACTAACTGTGTCCAGATAGGAACATGTGCCCTTAGGAACTGAAGGCTTGACTGAGAGATCTAATTTTCCCCATGCTTTGCTCTATGTTGGAGTATTATTAAGCTAAGCATATACAGTAAGCTCTAAACTGTAATTGTCAAGAAGAAGGTGATGCCTTGATCCTGGAAAAATATATATACTTATTTTTGCATGTTAAGGCTAGTTGCAACTTCTTCAATGAGTTTTTTTAATTAGATTCCTATAAGATTATTAGATCAATAT